GCAGTACCCCTACCCCCTCACACAGTACCCCTACCCTCCCAGCAGTACCTCTACCCCCCACACACAGTACCCCTACCCCTCCGCAGCACCCTTACACATATAGCACACACACACACACAGCACCCCCCACACACACACACAGCACCCCCCCACACACACACAGCACCCCTCACATACAACACTCACACACGCACCCCCACCTCAATGCAGTATGTGTGTATTCAGCAGTCTGTGTGTGTTTGCATGTATTCAGCTGTCTGTCTGTGTTTGCGTGTACTCAGCTGTCTGTGTTTGCGTGTACTCAGCAGTCTGTGTGTGTGTGTACTCAGCAGTCTGTGTGTGTGTGTGTGTACTCAGCAGTCTGTGTGTGTGTGTACTCAGCAGTCTGTGTGTGTGTGTGTGTACTCAGCAGTCTGTGTGTGTGTGTACTCAACAGTCTGTGTGTCTGTGTGTGTGTGTACTCAGCAGTCTGTGTGTGTGTGTGTGTGTATTCATCAGTCTCTGTATTCAACAGTCTTGTGTGTGTGTATTCAGCAGACTGTGTATGTATTGCATTTGTTGGAGATACTAATAAATATAAGCTTAATTTTATCTATTTATATCATTATTTAAAATTTGTATCATTGAACTCTCTGTGTTCTTTTAAAACAAAAGTTATTAGTTCGGACAACAGTACGGACAACCTCAGTATTTGGGTTTAATTGCCGTGTTGGCACTTTAAGGAGAAAAATGTTGGCATGTATTGCGGTTTGGGCACTCGGGCTCAAAAAGGTTCGCCATCACTGGCCTACACTGACAGCCTACACTGACAGCCTACACTGACACCATACACTGACAGCCTACACTGACAGCCTACACTGACAGCATACACTGACACCCTACACTGACAGCCTACACAGACAGCATACACTGACACCCTACACTGACAGCCTACACTGACACCCTACACTGACAGCCTACACTGACAGCCTACAATGACACCCTACACTGACACCCTACACTGACAGCCTACACTGACACCCTACACTGACAGCCTACACTGACACCCTACACTGACACCCTACACTGACAGCCTACACTGACAGCCTACACTGACACCCTACACTGACACCCTACACTGACAGCCTACACTGACACCCTACACTGACACCCTACACTGACACCCTACACTGACACCATGCACTGACAGCCTACACTGACACCATACACTGACAGCCTACACTGACAGCCTACACTGACACCATACACTGACAGCATACACTGACAGCCTACACTGACAGCCTACACTGACACCCTACACCCCGGCAGCCCTACACTTACAGCCCACACTGACACCCTACACTGACAGCCTACACTGACACCCTACACTGACAGCCTACACTCACAGCCTACACTGACACCATACACTGACACCATACACTGACAGCCTACACTGACACCCTACACTGACAGCCTACACTGACACCCTACACTGACACCATGCACTGACAGCCTACACTGACACCATACACTGACAGCCTACACTGACAGCCTACACTGACACCCTACACTGACAGCCTACACTGACACCCTACACTGACAGCCTACACTGACAGCCTACACTGACAGCCTACACTGACACCATACACTGACAGCCTACACTGACAGCCTACACTGACACCATACACTGACAGCCTACACTGACACCCTACACTGACAGCCTACACTGACACCCTACACTGACAGCCTACACTGACACCCTACACTGACACCATACACTGACAGCCTACACTGACACACTACACTGACAGCCTACACTGACAGCCTACACTGACACCCTACACTGACAGCCTACACTGACAGCCTACACTGACAGCCTACACTGACAGCCTACACTGACACACTACACTGACAATACACTGACACCCCTACACTGACAGCCTACACTGACAGCCTACACTGGCCACCCTACACTGACAGCCTACACTGACACACTACACTGACACCCTACACTGACAGCCTACACTGACACCCTACACTGACAGCCTACACTGACAGCCTACACTGACACCCTACACTGACAGCCTACACTGACAGCCTACACTGACAGCCTACACTGACAGCCTACACTGACACACTACACTGACAGCCTACACTGACACCCTACACTGACACCCTACACTGACACCCTGCACTGACACCATGCACTGACAGCCTACACTGACACCATACACTGACAGCCTACACTGACAGCCTACACTGTATCAGTAACCAGGAAGTCACTCAGGGAGCCTGTATTATTATAATGGTATCTCCCGAGAATAGCTGCTCTCCCCCCCCCCATCCACAGGAATGGATCCTTCCGTGTCTGAGACTCCACACCAGAGCGTCTGAAAAACGTCTTGACGTCACGGGTCACATGACACTTTTCGCCGGGTGGACGCTGGAAAGCAGTGGCAGAGCTAGAGCGGTATGGCTGGGAGACAATGTATCAACCGGGGGGGATAATGTATGGCTGTAACATGTGGGGGGGGGGCTCAGTCATACAGTATGTGTATAATAACACACAGGGAGAGGGGCTCTGTGTATAATAACACACAATGAGAGGGGCTCTGTGTATAATAACACACAGTGAGAGGGGCTCTGTGTATAATAACACACAGTGAGAGGGGCTCTGTATAATAACACACAGTGATGGGGCTCTGTGTATAATAACACACAGCACACAGTGATAGGGGCTCTGTGTGTAATAACACACAGTGAGAGGGGCTCTGTGTATAATAACACACAGTGAGAGGGGCTCTGTGTATAATAACACACAGTGAGAGGGGCTCTGTGTATAATAACACACAGTGAGAGGGGCTCTGTATAATAACACACAGTGATGGGGCTCTGTGTATAATAACACACAGCACACAGTGAGAGGGGCTCTGTGTATAATAACACACAGTGAGAGGGGCTCTGTGTATAATAACACACAGTGAGAGGGGCTCTGTATAATAACACACAGTGAGAGGGGCTCTGTATAATAACACACAGTGAGAGGGGCTCTGTGTGTAATAACACACAGCGAGAGGGGCTCTGTGTGTAATAACACACAGCGAGAGGGGCTCTGTGTGTAATAACACACAGCGAGAGGGGCTCTGTGTGTAATAACACACAGCGAGAGGGGCTCTGTGTGTAATAACACACAGCGAGAGGGGCTCTGTGTGTAATAACACACAGCGAGAGGGGCTCTGTGTGTAATAACACACAGCGAGAGGGGCTCTGTGTGTAATAACACACAGCGAGAGGGGCTCTGTGTGTAATAACACACAGCGAGAGGGGCTCTGTGTGTAGTAACACACAGCGAGAGGGGCTCTGTGTGTAGTAACACACAGCGAGAGGGGCTCTGTGTGTAGTAACACACAGCGAGAGGGGCTCTGTGTGTAGTAACACACAGCGAGAGGGGCTCTGTGTGTAATAACACACAGCGAGAGGGGCTCTGTGTGTAATAACACACAGCGAGAGGGGCTCTGTGTGTAATAACACACAGCGAGAGGGGCTCTGTGTATAATAACACACAGCGAGAGGGGCTCTGTGTGTAATAACACACAGCGAGAGGGGCTCTGTGTGTAATAACACACAGCGAGAGGGGCTCTGTGTGTAATAACACACAGCGAGAGGGGCTCTGTGTGTAATAACACACAGCGAGAGGGGCTCTGTGTGTAATAACACACAGCGAGAGGGGCTCTGTGTGTAATAACACACAGCGAGAGGGGCTCTGTGTGTAATAACACACAGCGAGAGGGGCTCTGTGTGTAATAACACACAGCGAGAGGGGCTCTGTGTGTAATAACACACAGCGAGAGGGGCTCTGTGTGTAATAACACACAGCGAGAGGGGCTCTGTGTGTAATACACACAGCGAGAGGGGCTCTGTGTGTAATAACACACAGCGAGAGGGGCTCTGTGTATAATAACACACAGCACACAGTGATAGGGGCTCTGTGTGTAATAACACACAGCGAGAGGGGCGCTGTGTGTAATAACACACAGCGAGAGGGGCGCTGTGTGTAATAACACACAGCGAGAGGGGCGCTGTGTGTAATAACACACAGCGAGAGGGGCGCTGTGTGTAATAACACACAGCGAGAGGGGCGCTGTGTGTAATAACACACAGCGAGAGGGGCGCTGTGTGCTGTACCCTAAACTATTTATTGAACTCTTTTCCTCCTGGTTACCCCATTTTGTTTCCTCTAGCACTCCCTCTCTCATACTTGGGGACTTCAATATCCCTATCAACAAGCTCAACTGCCCTGATGTCTCTCGTCTGCTCTCTGTAACCTCCTCCTTTGGATTCGCACAGATTTCTTCCTCAGCAACTCACAATGCAGGAAACACTCTTGACCTCATCTTCACCAATCTCTGTACCACCTCTGATCTCTCCACTGTTCCATTTCCTTTGTCTGACTACCATCTGCTAACATTTAACATCTGCATACCCCATACCAAAATTTCACCACCATCAACTCTCCAACCTCGCAGAAACCTCAACTCCCTCGATCTCCAGCACTTCTCCACCAAACTCCAAACACTCCTTTTACCCATCTCAAATCTCAACTGCCCTAACTCTGCAACCTCACTCTACAACTCCTCTCTCTCCTCTCAACTTGACATCATGGCACCTCCTACAGTTAACCGCACCAAGCGCCCACACTACAACCCTGGCACACCAAGCTGACCCGTTACCTCCAAAAATGTTTCAGAACTGCTGAACGCTGCTGGAGAAAGTATCACTTTGCATCTGACTTTGTCCATTATAAATTTATGCTGCGCTCCTACAGCATGGCTCTTTCCTCTGCAAAAGTAAACTACTTCAACACCCTCATAAGCACACTGTCCCATCAACCCAAACACCTGTTTTACACTTTTGATGCTTTTCTTCGCCCTGTGACTCCCCCTCCTTCCACCCCCTTTTCCGCCACAAACTTTGCATCTCATTTCATTGAGAAGATCTCTACAATCAGGAAAGATATCTCTAATCTCTCTCCTACCCCTATCAATACATCACCCAACCCCACTCTCCCTGCCATCCTATGCTCATTTGCACCTTCTACAGCACAAGAGGTTTCTGCTCTGCTCCTGTCCTCCCGCCCCACCACCTGCTTCCTCGATCCTATTCCCTCGCATCTCATCCGCACTTTGTCTCCCTCTCTTGCGCTTCCTCTCGCTAACATTTTCAATCTCTCCCTTTTCTCTGGCACATTTCCCTCACCCTTCAAACGTGCAACCGTAACCCCGATTCTGAAAAAGCTGAACCATGATCTCAACTCCCCATCCATCTCGCTACTGCCATTTTCCTCCAAGATCCTCAAGAGAGTTGTGTACGGCAGATTGACAGACTTTCTCGAATCCAACTCTCTGCTTGACCCCCTTCAGTCTGGATTCCGCGCTGGTCACTCTGTCGAAACTGCTGTGACCATAGTATCCAACGATTTAATTTCTGCTAAATCTCGCGGCCAATACTCTATCCTAATCCTCCTTGATCTTTCTGCCGGCTTTGACACTGTTGATCATCAACAGCTTCTTCACATTCTCCGTAACTTTGGTCTACGGGATACTGCTCTCTCCTGGTGCTCCTTCTACCTCTCCCAGCGCTCCTTCAGTGTTTCTTTCTCTTGCTCTGCCTCTTCTCCCCAACCCCTCTCTGTCGGCGTTCCCCAAGGTTCTGTCCTAGGCCCCCTACTGTTCTCTATCTATACTGCCTCCCTTGGTAAACTCATCAGCTCCTTTGGCTTCCAATATCATTTATATGCAGATGACACGCAAATCTACCTGTCCTCCCCTGATCTCTCTCTGCCCACCTTGACTCGTGTTTCTGACTCCCTCTCTGCAATTTTCAACTGGATGGCTGCCCACTTCCTTAAACTCAGCCTGTCCAAATCAGAACTTCTAGTTTTTCCTCCCTCAAGTGCTGCTACTCCTGTGTCTGTCTCCATCCAAGTCAACGGCGCTACTATCACCTCTACCTCGCAGGCTCACTGCCTAGGGGTTCTTTTTGATTCTGACTTCTCTTTTACTCCTCATGTCCATTCGATAGCCAAATCCTGTCGCTTCCAACTCCAGAACATAGCGTGCATCCACCCATATGTAACGCCGGATGCGGCTAAGGTACAGGTTCATGCTGTTGTTCTCTCTCGTCTTGACTATTGCAATCCCCTTCTCACCAGTCTTACATGTTCCCAGCTTGCACCGCTGCAATCTATAATGAATGCGGCTGCGAGGCTTATTTTCCTGTCCGGTCGCACCTCCCACTCCTCCACGCTCTGTCAGTCCCTGCATTGGCTTCCAGTTAGATATAGGGCCCAATTCAAAATTCTGGCGCTTGCTTACAAATCCCTACATAATGCTGCTCCAACATACATATACTCCCTCATACACAAGTATGTCCTGTCGAGACCCCTGCGTTCAGCCCAAGACCTACGCCTATCCTCTGCCCGGATCCCCACCTCTGCTCGCCTTCAAGACTTCTCCAGAGCTTCACCTATTCTGTGGAACTCCCTTCCCTCTTCAATCAGACTTTCACCCAGCCTCCACTCCTTCAAAAAATCTTTGAAAACTCACTTCTTCATTAAGGCGTATCAATTAAACTATCATCGGGTTTCTCATCCCCCACCCCATGACTCCTTTCCTGCAACTGTCAAAAATGACCTACCAAGCACTCAATAAACACTTCTCTAACAAACTATTTAATTCCCCTACTTTAACCCTTTGTGTCACTATACCCCACTCCCTCTAGCATGTAAGCTCATCGAGCGGGGCCCTCAACCCCCTCTGTTCCTGTACGTCCAGTGGTCTTATCTCAATTATGTGTCTTTTAGTCCACCCATTGTATAGCGCTACGGAATTTGTTGGTGCTATATAAATAATAATAATTATTAATGAGAGAATTACGGAGACTGCTGCATGAATTTCTAATTTAAGACCAAAGTAGCCGAACTGAAAACAGAATTGGCTTGGAGAAGTTTTCTATCTTGGCTATATTGGCCTATATAAAAAAAAATAATCGTTTAGAATGTATCAATTCTCACTTTAGCGACTAACCCTGTATAACATATCACACTATATTGTGGGACATTGTAAAATTATGACATATTTCACCATGCAGCGTTCCTCTGTGACAGCATTGACTATAATAGGTTGTAATGAATAATATATTGTTTAATTGTAGTGAAAAAAGGTTGTGCAGAAGACAAAACCATGGATGAAGAACCTGAAAAAACAAAGCGCTGGGAAGGGGGCTATGAAAGAACATGGTAAGCTTTTAAAGAGAACCGACAGTAGCAAAAATAACAGTAATTAGCTTCCATTTCCATAAGAAAATAGAAAACACATAGGGGGCGCTCTAAAATGTGTGAAACCAAAGAAATAAAGTAAATACGTATTTACTTTATTTCTTTGGTTTCACACACATTTTAGAGCGCCCCCTATCTGTTTTCTATTTTCCTATTGTATGTGTGTTTTTAAGTGGTTTTTAAACACTGGGGAAGTCGCTATCTAGAACACCTCACTTGCACTTTGTGTGTTAAGGGTTTGCTGTTCCCTTTCTATAGCTTCTCTTCTGTCCAATCACCCTTCCTTCCCCCCATTGCTGATTAAAAAAATAATTAAAAAAAAAAAAAATATATATATATATATATATATATATATATATATATATATATATATATATATATATATATATATATATATATATATATATATAAAAATGAAAGTTTAAAAGATTACTTACCTTGCTTCCAGTGCCAAGAGGATCACGTATTAGTGTTGTTTCTGTTGCTGGAACACCTATAGGGAGCACACTGGACTTTGCCATATTGGCTTTGTAGACTGATATTGCTCCATAATCCCCTAGTATCTTCTGCAAGGCCCCCATCGAGTTCACCGGGTCAGTGAGCACCAAGAGCACATCATCCGCATAGGCTGAGACCAAGAATTCTCTCCCTCCCACGTTTACCCCCCTTCACTTCTGGGTGTTGCTCTAGCACCTGTAGTAGAGGTTCTAGCGATAAGACGAATAAAAGGGGAGAGAGGGGACATCCCTGCCTAGTCCCAATGGAGAGTTGGAAAGGGCGTATCAAGGCCCCTGAAATTTTCACCTGTGCTCTTACATTGCTATACATGGCTCTGAGCAAGGCCATAAACTGTCCCGGGAAACCCAGGTGCTTCAGGAGCGTAAACAAATAAGGCCACTTCACTCAATCGAACGCTTTTTCTGCGTCAAGCGATACTAGTAGCGTTGGGGTCCGAGTGACTGTCTGCTTCCATATCAGGTCCATGTTCAAATAACTGTCTGCCCGGTATGAAGCCTACTTGATCCGCATTGATCATATTCACTAGGAAGGGGTTAAGCCTGTCTGCTTGGATTTTCGCCAGTATTTTCATATCATGGTTTATTAGGGATATGGGCCTATAACTTTTGGACAGTAGTGGGTCCTTATCTGGTTTTGGCAGTAATACTATGGTAGTCAGAGACATATCTGGGTTTGGTGTGCCTCCTGTCCTAAACCTATTGAATACTGTAGTTAAGTGGGGTGTGAGTATGTCTTGAAACGTCTTATAATAGCTACCATCGAAGCCGTCTGGTCCAGGAGTCCTATTCCCTTTTTAAGGCAGTGATTGATCTATCTATTTCATCCGGGGCCAGAGTTTCAGCAGCTTCCTGTGGCAACTTGGGCAGACCTAGGTCGCTAAGGAACCTACGCGTTAAGTCTTCTTCTCTTGCCGTCGATGTCCCTGATGGACTTCACTTTAATTATCATTGCCTTCTCTTAGATCTACAGCATAACAAGATGTGTTTTAAAGGATGAGCTCAATTAACTTTTTTTTTTTTTTTTCTTCTCAACCTATATAACTATATATATTTACATTATTTCACATAGAATTATCTGAGTTTTATTCATTAAACAGCATATTGCACAGTTTAAAAAAAAAAAAAGTGCAGAACTTGAGCCAGGGCTGGCTAAGAATGGATCCCCAATTGTTGTAGAACAATACCTTCTTATCATGTATTATTATTACATTGCTCAGCACTTCAAAAATTGTGTGCATTTTTGCAATTTTATTGATTTTGTTCTCATTAGGGAAGTGCTGAAGGAGGATGAATCTGGATCTCTCAAAGCCACAATTGATGATATTCTGTTCAAAGACAAAAGGAAACGGTAACAGCTTTATTAATTATAACTTACTGTAATTTATTACAATAGTAGTAGCCATAGCAAAACTCCAAAACCACTTCAACAAAGTTCTAGATCTTACCTGTTCATCTTTTTTTTTTTTCTGAACACATTTTGTATTGGGGAAAATTCACAGACCATGGATATTCCATTGCTGCAAACACCCAATATTTGTATTCTGCTACGGTTCTTAAGTACACTGTTACCAAATTTGTATACCTTTTCCCCCAATCCTACCCCTAATATGTTCCCTAATCCAACCCTTAATCCAAGATGAAACATTGCACATCAAAACTCCTACCACGATGACCACTTCAAAAAGCAGAAGTGGTCATGGTGGTTGGAGTAGCCTTTAAAAGCCTGTTTATTATATATATTTTTTTTCTTTTACAATAGATAAGTGGATATTTTTCCTTTCCTGTGTATAACTAATGTGGTTAGTTCACTTTCTATTCAAGTTGTTTAGTCCCAATTCACTTGTTTTGTTTTCTTAAGAGTCTTTGAACAACGTGGTCAAGTGCGACTTGGAATGGTAAGAGTTGGTTACTTTTTAATAAAGAAAAAAAAAAACTATCCATTATATAACATTCAAAGGGAAATTCATGTAACTGTCTTTTTTTTAACGTTTACATTTTTATGTTAAACAAGATTGGGGAAAAAATTGTGCCTGTGTTTTGTTGCCCCATGGTCAGTCTATGATGCGTATATATGTCTTCCTTCACTAGATGCGCCACCTTTATGTGATAGTCGATGGATCAAGAACGATGGAAGAACAAGATCTGAAACCCAATAGGCTCACGTCTACTTTAAAGGTAACGAGGAACTGGACCACTAAAGTAATTTTTTAATTTTTTCCCTAGCTGGTCATTTTAGCAAGCCTTCTTTGTATTTTAGTTTGTTAAATAGCCCAAATAGAAAGGGATATTACTCTGCACAACTCTGCTATGGAAAATATCCAACCTGTTGATCCATCCATCTACTCTTAGCAAAGATGTTTTTTTTTTTTTTTTTTCATTAGTCTGCTCATGGCATAATTTATGTAGTCTTGTATTGTCATTTAAATATATGGTGGTTCTTGCATTGGTAGAATTTTCTGCACAAATGTTAATCTCCATGCTAAAATCTGCCAGATTGTTAAATAGCAGATTAAAATTGCTGATAGTTGACTGTTTCGCTACTTTTTAAAATGGCTCTGTCCAGTAGTGGTTTTTGTTTTGTTTTTTTTTGGAAGGGGGCAGGGGGGTGAGAGCACTTCCCGAGATGACATACCCACTTAAAATGCAACAGCACAGGGGAGAATCTAAAGGAAAATATACTTACCTGAATATCTCCCATTTGGATGCTGCCATCTTCTTGTGGGTTCTGTCTTCGGCTCTTGATGCTTTATCCACTGGGAACCTGTGTCAGTGCTGTTCTTTTGTGCAAGTATAAAAATACAAAAGAGAGCTCTATAACAGCGATAGATGGATCCTCCATAGAACTTATAGATGCTCAAAAAGATGCCTTTTCCCACGGCTATCAGAAGCGATGGCTGCTAAAATACAACAAAGGAACCTTTCAACAATTTGGATCCAGTTTAGAGTTCTCAATAAGGCCAAGTAGTCCCTACTTCTTTTGACTGAGTTGGAATTTCAGTTAAAATCCAACACATTCATCGTTAGTCTTCATAGAATATTAAAAAGTTGCTACTTTTAATGTTATGAATGTAGTTGATGCATGATGTTGCTTCTTGATTATGTCTAATTCATACATTTTTGTTAAAGTGCTAGTTATATATTTTTTTTAATCTTATTTTATGACATGCACCTTTAAAACCTATATTATTTATATAGAAGTTGCTAGGCAGGTTTATATGTATCAAGGTTAATTTATGTACCTCTATGTATAATATTTTTCAAGCATTGGCAATGAGCTCAAATCTGGTATAGTATCAATCCAGCTATATCTGTTTTGGGCTAAAGGACTTCTCTTGCATTTGAGGCTTTTGATTCTATATTATGCAACAAAAACATATTTCATACATTGGTATTATTTTATTTTAGCTGCTAGAATACTTTGTGGATGAATACTTTGATCAAAATCCTATCAGTCAGGTAAGTGCTGCACCGCAGTTTGTAAAACACATTTTTTTTTTCCCTTCATTTTTGGTAAATGACAAAACCATATTTATTTTTGACATATATTTTATTTATATTTGTTTTAGAAAACTCTAGCATTGGGATATTATTGGGTCACATGTACATTATAACAATTTTTATAAAAAAAATTCCATAGCTTTATAATGCCCATGTACAAATGCTAATAATCTATTAAAGATTTGTCACATTGTAGTCATCTTGTTGTGCCTTGGCTCCCAGTCCACCAGTCACTTACTCTTCTGAGTTTTGCAACGTCTGTTCTGCTGCTGTTTCTTTAGTTTAACGTATATGGCAGTCTCCCTTGTTCAATTACCCTTGTATAGTGTCTGATATGTTTTGTGTGTAAGTGCAAGCATTTAAAGATGTCACACAATATCCTAGTAAATATGGCACTTTGAGAATATTGTCTGTTAATGTTCAGTTCCTGCTAAAATAAACCCGTGTGCCCCTGCAAAGGCATCTGGCACTCTTGGTATTTGTTCCTGGATCCTAGTCTGCTTCCTTTGATTACCGTGCTACTTAAGATCTAAGAGAGTTTATAAACATGACTTCAGTCAGATCCAAGTCTCATTTGCTTTGTACTTTGGATGAAGCAGACAGTCTACTCTCTGACTCATCCTTGTTTGTCAATAACGTGTTATGTTAGATGCAGCCATTTCAACTATGCCATTATTCTGTCATCACACAGGTATAGTCATTAAAATGAGAATTCAAGGTGAATTCACAGACCATTTCAAATTTAAGGTGAAATGAAAATAGCTGAAATGGAAACATTCTCTCTTAGCTATGATTTATTTCAGCTTCTCTGGCCTTATGTTTAAAAGTAATTTTGAGTTCACTTTTAGGGTTATTAACTACAGTCAGAATTCAAAGTAATTTTCAAATTCTACGCCAAAGAAGTCAAACTTGAAGTTTGGCTTGAAGTTAAAGATTTTCCCAATTCAGCTATTTTTCATCTTAAACTCAAATTCTCACTGTAGTAAATAACTGACAGTTTCAATGCTCTAATCAAGTTACTAAGAATTTCCCCGCTAGACTACATTGTTACCTGTCTTAGCATTGAAATATTTCTTTAAAAATAGCTGTGATCACCCTAATGTCTATCTTCATAAACTTTCAGTTAAGACTGAGTTCCCTCCTCCTTTTCTAGATCCTGGTCTCGCCATGCCTCCAAACAGAATTCCTAGTCATGTCTGACTCTGCCATTTTCTCTGGAAGCCAAACGTGTGTGTGTGTGTGGTCCCAATATCAAAATAGTACAAGGGCTCATGGTTGTCAGATGAATATTCTCTTGTCACAAATAGGTCTTATTCATTTCTTTATTTTTCCATCCTTTATTTAAACTTGAGTGGTAAACAGTACCGTGCACAATGACAATAAGTAAAGCAGTATTGTGGCCACAGTGGTGACTTCATTGGCATTGTTAATAAAACAGAGGTCCTAGTGACCACAATGCAAGTATACGAATATTCAGGGTGAGTGAAACATTAGTACATTGCAGTGAGTACAAGCCTTTGGGTCCTATACAATGGAGACCTTTGGCAATAGATGCGACTGAGTATCTCAAGTCCCGTCTGTGGTATACAGCTGGATATCATCGTTCCCGGGTGGTTACCCACTGGCTGTGGAGATCGTATGTCAACTTTGTGGTATCCATTCATTAAGTATTTTACCGGTCTGGGTGAATGCCCGTCCGGAATGTGTAAGAGAATAGAAGGTGGATAAGTGGAAGAGTAGAGGGTGGAGAAGAAGTAGAAAGAGAGAGGTTCAGCACGAAACGGGGTTCGCCAAGAGGACAGAGGTGAGGGGTGGTGTCCGGGCAGCCCCCCTGGAACCCAGCAGGCCGCAGCAGTGGACAGGTTAGGTCGACTCATCTAGGAAGGATTTCCACAGCTCCCACTCCCTCTCAAAGGTTTTTAGCGTACCTCGGACCTTGGCAGTCAATTTAACCATTAAGTGTGTATCTTTTAGTTTTAATATGACCATGTTGATGGATGGGACCTCTGACCACAGCCTGGTTTGAGCTATTGACCTTCTGGCAGCTAGGGCAATTTTTTGCATCAGTTTTTGTTCTGGTCTAGTCCATATCCATCAAGCGGCCTAGACAGTAATAGTACTGTCCCCACGGGTGAGGCGTCAGTGGTCTGTGGAAGATGTTCGTTATTAGGTCGTTTAACTTTTCCCCAAAGCGTTTGTATCCGAGTGCAGTCCCACCTCATATGTTTGTACGTGCCTCTCTGTCCGTATAGTCTCCAACATTGGTCTGTCAGGGTTTTGTGCATGTGGTAGAGCTGGACCGGGGTAGTGTACCACCTGAACATTGTTTTGTACGATTGCTCTTGCATCGTGACACATATCGAGGTCCGACTGTTAATCTCCCAGATGTCTTGCTACTTAGTTCCTTCCAATGTCTCCCCGAGTTCTGCTTCCCACTGGTCCGTGTATCGCAGACCCCCAGTCTGTAGTGTTGATGCATAAGTGTGAGTATAGACTGGTGATGAGGCCCTTTTGATCTGTTTCTTTTCAAAGAATGTTAGCTGTGTCCGGGCTGCTTTTTTCATGTGTGGATTTTGGGCAAAGTCCCTGATCTCTAGATACCGAAAATAGTCAAATAGGTCTTATTCTGTAGCATTGGGATGTTGAAGTTCCAAAGTCAAAGCCCATATTATACATGTTCGAGCCCAACATTATTATACATTGTGTTTTTCTGTTCATAACTATAGATAAACTCCTTTTTCATTTTTTTAGTTTTGAAGTAACTCGTGATTAATTTTTCTCTCTTTAATTTTTTTTTTTTTTTTCCTGGACTTGCATTTTTCAGGTTGGCCTCATTGTTACAAGGAACAAACGAGCAGAAAAACTGACAGAACTCGCTGGTATGAAACTTGTCCATTTTAAATCCTGCTGAGCCAGAAATCCTGTGACACTGTAATCCATCATGTTAGTTCTTTTTAATGCCCATGCTATTATTCTATTTTTAAAGATTTAACTGTTCATTTAAGCAAGACTTTCATCTGAAACCAGAGATGATAAACAAATGAGAACCAAATACTGGATCGTGAAACTCCGTACGATCCTTTAATTAATGCAGCAACATTATGCCACTGATTGAGTAATATGTGTGAATATGTGTATGACAGTGAGGCTACGGTGATGTTGGATGCAAATTATAGTGAATAATGGCCTTTACAAATCCTGTTACTCATAAAGTAATTCAGGAAATACAAATCTGCAGGTTTTTTTCTAATTGTATTTATTTATTTTCTCATTCCAATCTCGCCTGTATGAAATCCAAAAACGTGGCACATTCTGAGACTGTTCTCAGAGTGCCTTATAACATACGTTATAATAATCGTCCACACAGATCATCTCAAATGTGTTTTAGATAAATTTAATATTGAATTACAACAGTCCTTACTTCTTTAACCCCTTAGGACACAGTTTCAGAAATAAAAGGGAATCATGACGGAATATTACCGTCATGTGTCCTTAATGGGGTTAATATAATTAGGAAGAAAACCAAAAAAAGTGTAAAGATATACTGTGTAGCTTGTCTAGAGATGTAAGTGGCAAGACAAGGTATTGTGAATCTGTGGCAGCATTGGTTTAATATCTTTCTAGACACTGTAGGTACTGCAGACACCTGGTCCACTTTTCTACTAAATTTAGTGCACAAGTAACAGTTGATCTAATGCACTTTGTCTCAGCTGGACTCATCCATGGCATGCAACTTAAGATCTGGGACAAGATAAGTTTCATTATATTCTGCCGCAGGGATTAAGAGTAGTTATTTTAATCTTCCAATCTTCATGTTATTTACTGCTATTACATGTTGCTTAGAAAAGCTTACTAATGGGGGAATGACAGTCTTTGCGATCACTAAACCTTTTACCTTTTTCCAGGGAACCCCAGACAGCACATAACTGCCCTGAAGAAAGCTGTAGATATGACCTGCACGGGCGAACCATCCCTCTACAACTCATTAAACCTAGCACTGCAGACATTGAAGTTAGTACTTCTAGTGTCCAGTAGCATTTTACCATCTTAATCATTTACTGAATCATTTCAGCACCTTGCCTTATGTTTCCTTGAATGTGATTCTTTATTGTATGTTCCTTTACATGTGTTGGCTGTTTGACTTGGACAATGTGGAGGTTAAAATTGTCTGATTGTGAGCACATATAGTTTTGGTGTGTGTTTGAGATTTACATGCTTTACTGTTGTCCTCAATATAAAAATGTATAATTTGCTTGGTATGTGTTTTTTTTTTTTTTTTGTTTTGTTTTTTTTGTTTTGTTGATTTACTGCTTGATTCATATTTGCAAAGTGTTCTAATTTGAATGTGCAATTTCATACAGACACATGCCGGCGCATACGAGTCGAGAGATCTTAGTGATTTTTAGTAGTCTGACAACTTGTGATCCTTCAAATATCTATGAACTAATAAAGGTAAATGCCTTAAAGAAACCAAGGATATCTAGCATTGTCAGTGCAGTCCTAGATTATGGAGAATGTGACTTCTTCTTATACTGTCCTTATAAGTCTGGGTTTCCTTCACACAAAGTGACTAGGGAGGGGGCTTTTAAGATAAAATGCAGACTATTGTGACTTATTTTATGTGTTTTTCATATAACTGTTTTAGTTGCCCTCTAGTTTTTTATTTTACATCTACCACTAAAGTATTTTTTTTTTTTTTTAATAGTAATCAGAATAATAACTGCATTATTTTAGAATAGCCACAAGTAGCAATTTCCCAAGTTTGTGCATTGACTACGTGTCATAACTGTTTTAAGAAGCAAATTTCGATTTAAGGGTAGAGTAGCGCAACCTGAGTTATAATGTAATGGTTGATCATATACAGCAGCAGACATTTTAGAGAACCCTGTCTAAGACAGACCATCCATGTTCTTTGGAACGACTAAGAGATCTTCCTCTTAACCAGGGCTGATGCTTTTTCTTTGTAGAGCTAGATGTTAAGTACGTGGTGTTGCCGTCCATTTGAAATGTTTTTGTACATTGACTGACTATACGTTGTCTTTGATTTCCTTGGCAGTGTTTGAAAGCCAGCAAAATCAGAGTGTCTGTCATAGGCCTTTCAGCTGAAGTTCGAGTTTGCACTGTGCTGACAAAAGAGACTGGTGGTGAGCAGTATATTCTATGAAATACGTCTGAAGCCTGTTTGAAAGGGAAAGGAAGATGGGTGTGTGTTCATGGAACACTCCAGGTGTCACAGAACTGCACCCTTCTTGGTCTCAAATCACCCATATTCTATCAAAACATTATGACAATTGTAGTATTTCATCACCTGGAACACAGGACCTGACAATGTGAAAAGAGACGTCAGTATTTTTCAAAAGAGGAAAGTTAAAAAATATGTCTATATGGCAGCCGCTGGTAAAACTAGTATCTAAAAAACCTTATTATAAAGGAAAATGTTAAGCCAGAGGGGCTAAAAACTAAAAAATGATGTGAAATTGAAATGTTTTTAAAGTAAACTAGTGTGCTGCTTAAATCAGGTTAATGTTTATATAACAGAGTTCAAATATTGAAAAAGAAAAAAATTAATCTTGCCATGCACCCTTGCAAATATTTGGTTTAGTTTACACCCAAGGTCATTGTGTATTGTAGCACGATGACACCTTGCATCTCTTGTGTTGAAGAAACTAAAAGACAGTCCTTCCTCTTGTTAGTTTGAAGTTTATCATTGGTATACCCACCAATACAAGTTCAAAGATGTCACATGAACACAATTCTTGTATTGAGAGATCTGACAATGCTTTGCCTGTACTAGTGCCAGGAGGGAACATGCTGGAGAAATGGAACAATGTGGGGAAGATATAATTTACGTTAGTCACAAAAACATAGTACTTTGTATAAACCTACAGAGGAAAAACAGTAATTAAATGTGGGGGATGTTTTATCGTTCCATTACTTTATCTATGTGTGCATTGTTGTGAGTTCTTTTCATGTGTTGCTTGTGTTTTTATTTTATATAGGTGTCTACCATGTTATTTTGGATGAAAGTCACTACAAAGAACTCCTTATGTATCATGTGAGCCCTCCTCCTGCAAATAACAGCTCGGAGTGTTCTCTCATCCGCATGGGTAAGCAAACTCTTCCTTCCTTTTTTTTTTTTTTTTAATGAAAAATTGATCCATGGTGTAATTTGTAAATATGACTCTGGTGATTATTTTATTCTGTATAGCATTGATGATTATTATTAAGTACGCCGTTTCAGATGATGCTCATTTTGTTTTCCTTTTTCTAAAACGGTATTTGCCTTCACAGGGCAAAACCTTTAACTCAGAAGTTGTTTCTGCATGTTTTCTTTGACAATATATGAAAAAGCCGCTTGCAAAAGCTGCATTTCTTGGCCCCAAATTTACTCTTTAGGCAGGACATTCATCTCATTGAGAAGCCTCTCTGCAGGAGACACGAGCGCACACAAATTCGGCCTTGCTCATAGAGAAGACAGGCACATTCTATTCTAAATTGTCAACACAAAATGACAGACTAAAAAACACATAGCACATCATATTTGAAGTGCTCTTCGTGTCTGGAGTGTTCCTTTGTGGATATCCCATAAGCTTCTACCCAACACTTAGCAGCAGTGTCATTCACGACACATTTAAAGTGCTGGTCTAGATAATAGAAACTTTGTTTGTGTTTTGTTAAAAAAAGGAGCACAACTCTATCATGCAAAAGTTCTTTCATCTAATAACCGTTCATAAGCCAATATAAGATTTAAGTTGTGATTACGTTGCCATCTTTCTTTGTAGGCTTTCCTCAGCATACACTGGGTTTTCTCTCCGACCAAGACGCAAAACCATCTTTTAGTATGGCGTAAGTGTTAAACATTCAGTTTTGTTCATACGTGTTAACTGTTTCTGTCAGTGGTGTTATTTAGGCAAGCTGTTAGCACGCATGTTTCTCTTACTGCTTCTTCAGTGGAAGGTGCTCGTTTTCAATAATTAGAGGTGATGAAAGATCTTCTGACTTGAGTGCATGTTATTGGGGTCCATTCTGGAGCTTTGAATGACTGGATCCATCTGACAGCAGGTGTGATTTTCAGACCGGTTCCATTGAGGAAGCAATATCTACTCTTAAAGGTTTACTCGAAGCACCATGACCACTTTAAGGATTTGCAGTGGTTATGGTGCTTTGAGACTGAAACAATACACCTTCAGAGATATATCAGCATTCTGGCAGAGGATGAAAGTTCTAGGTTGGCTAATGTTAATTCTATGCGTACTGGGTGTCTCTTGTCAGCTCGACCCTCTATCCTGCCCCAGTCCTCTCCTCATCCTCTGGGATGTTCCTTTCCCTGCAGTGATGGGGAGTGACTTCACTGAAAGAGGATCAAGTTGCAGGGAGAAGTTGACTTTGGCACTGGATCGAAGAATAGTTTTTTTTTTTTTCTTTATCTTTTTTAATCTTTTTAAAGTGACAGAGGCCAGCAAGGTTTACTCTATCCAAAACCGTGTTTTTATAATATACTGGTTTTGGTTTGAGTTACACTTTAGCTACACATATTTAAAAGATAATAAATAAAAATATACCATCTCAAAATAATTTTCTCTTCATCAATATAAATGAAAGAGAAAAATATGTGTGTAATGTGCATGAATAATGTACTCATGCAAACATAACAAATTCAGGTAGATTAAATTAATTTGTTGAAATAAAAATCAAAACTGTATTAGTTCACTCAAACCAGTATACATTTTTTAATTCAATTAAATTAGCTACAGTGTATTAGTTCGCTCAAACCAGTATACATTTTTAATAAAATTAGCTACAGTGTATCGGTTTACTCTAACCAGTATACATTTTTAATTCAATTAAATTGGCTACAGTGATTTTGTTGTTTAACTCAGGCCCACTGTCATTTATTAGTCAGATCACTTTGTTTATGCAGTCCTTGTTTCCCCTTCCCTGCCTGAGACTAATATAACCTCCCTACACACTTATATAATGATTTTAAATTTATTTTACTGTGTTTGATTTAGAATTTCTTATCTCCACCTCTGTTAAAGGATCACTAAGGTCACCCAGACCATTTAATTTCCATGAAGTGGTCTTTGACTTGCATTTTTAACCCTTTTGTAGAAAGAACAATGTTTACATTGCAGGGTCAAACACACCTATAGTGGCTGTTTTTCTAGATAGCCACTAGAGGTCCTTTTGCTGCACTAGCAGAGTAAAATGCAATGCTTTCCTATGAGAAGCATTTGAATGTACGCACTGAAGCAGTTTCCAATAGAGGAGCATTGGACTGGCCATCAGTTGGAGACACAGGAAGTGGAGGGGCTCGCAGGGCTGTGGGGGGGAGGAGGGGGCTAAAACAAATCTGTAGGTACAGCTCACCAGAGCTAGGAATACATGTCTGTATTCCTAACACTATAGTGTACATTGAGTTGCCTGCTAGAGCCTGCAACAGATTAGAGTTCAATTAACAGAACATAAGATAATTAACTTCTAAAGTAAACACACTGTGCTTTAAGATTTGGTTGAAAACTAAACATTTTTTTTCTATGTTGGCATTGTGATTCACAGGCAAGGTATGGGTAAAAAAAAACCAAAACACATGCTTCCTTGAACTACTTGAGTGGCCAGACACATTTTATTACTATTTCCTCAGTTTTTATTTAACAAAGTTTTGGCTGGTGTTCAATACAGTAGGAAGAAATAAGTTCAGATCGGGATGTATGATACCCTTTGACAAAAGCTCTGCACAATATACATGTTTTGTATGGTTTTCAGGCACCTTGATAACAACACTGATCCAGGCCTGACATTAGGCGGTTACTTCTGTCCACAATGTAAAGCCAAGTACTCTGAACTTCCTGTGGAATGTAAAGTCTGCCGTAAGTACATACAGATCCTATTTTAAGGTCTGCTGTGTGGAAATCTTGACTTTTCCAGAATAGAAATAACATTGAGTGAAATGAGTCATTTGTAATCGGTACAGAGTAAAGGATCCATCATTATTAAACTATTTGGATGTCTGGCGGGCTAAGCATTATATGGCAATATAAATTAAATGTGGTCCTTAAAAGAGCGTTAATTTGATTACCTAATTATTTAATTAGTACATTACCAGTTCATTGGGTCCCTGCAAAAGAAACACTGGAATTTGCCACAGCTTAGTCTGAATTATGGTGGTTGCTTTCTCAGTGCCAAAGTTCTCTTGCAAGGTTCCTTCCTTTTTTTTTTTTTTTCATACCAATGTGCTCCACTACAAAATTGACGCTTTGTATGCTATAGATCCAGAATACTTTACAGGTTCCAGTATAATACAGAGATATGTAGTTTGAAATGTCAGCTACTGTTGTCAGGGCTGCTTTAATTGATTTCTTTACTAAAGCTTAAAGTGGCACTGTCACCGTCTCTTGACTTTGCATATTTTGTAAAGACCACAGACATGAAGCTACTACTTTCTCGCATGCATGAGATTATAGCCGAGAGGTCTAAGAAGGATCCTGCGAGACCTCGGGATCGACCATAGATGGAACCAGTTTCCCTGCAGTAGTCACTGGTGAGGGCTGGGGGGAATTGACATTTCCAGGCAGTGGTCGTTCCATAAAGTGTCAGGCGTAGGAAAAATACTGAGACAAAGTAGTCCCTCAGTGACTAGTCCCTACTTTGTCTCAGTACATCTGTTGACTGGGTTGAAATTTTGGTAAAATTCCAAGACCGTAAATATGAGTTTCATAAAGATTTTATCTTTATGAAATACTAATTTTGCAGGGGGTGGCAGAGGGTGTGTGACCACGCTGTTTTAAAGGGACACTCTAAGCACCAGAACCACAACAACAACAACGTAATGCAGTTTATCTGATGCAAAGTGACTGTGCATGCACATTAGATGGAAAAGTAAAAAATATAATTTAACGGAGACTGAATATCTAAACATACATGCTTGTATTTGTAAAGTTAGAGTATTCTTTTAAATTGGTTACATGCCTGTAACTGCTTAATTTAAGCTTAACATATCCATGCTTGATACTCGTGTAAAGAATTTAATTATTTTTCAGGTTTAACCTTGGTGTCGGCCCCTCATCTTGCTCGTTCCTACCATCACTTATTTCCACTAGATGCATTTAGTGAGGTTCCCCTGGAGAAGTATGAAGGAGAAAGGTAATTATTTTATACTGTATTCTTAAAACATTATTTATGACAACTAGGCAAAACTAAGGGAAGTTCTCTATCCATTCCAGTCGATTCTAACTCTATTGAAAATTGTAAGCAATTTGAAATAATATGTTACTTCCTTGATTGAAGGTACTGTCGAGCCTGTGATGGAGATCTGAAAGATCCACAAGTAAGTCCTGTTCACTTATCTTCTCATGTAACACATTACAGTCTGTATGAGGAAATCAAATGCTTTTATGTCATGGCAGTTAAACTTCATAATATCCGTATGGGGAGATATGGTCTTCTGTACTGCACACTTTTTATTTCTTTTTTCCTATATCCTCTTTTTTTTTTTTTTTTTTTAAACCTCTCTCCTTCCCGTAATACATTTGAGTTCAAAATCCTTGTTTAGGATATCGTTTTAGAGACATTATAGCAACTGTTTAAATAACTTTTGTCAAGCTCTTGATAGTTCTGAAAGTTTGACTGAAATAGTTCTGTCATTTTACCCCTGGTGGAATTAATACCTTGAATTCTTTATTGCCCGGAGCTTTGTGGAGTTGTAAACACCAAATCTTACAACATAAACATTAAACTGGCCAAGAAACACTTCCACCCCTGGTCTGTCTAGTAGACAAGTTGCTACTGGAAAAAAGACTTGGTAATAACCCCAAAAAGTTTATATTTTAGTTTACATTGTTGCACTTGATCCCATTTAGTTCCTATGTAAACCTTTGGCAATTGGTTGAACTCCAACTCTGACTATTCTTAGTAACGTGACTAAAGTCAGGATATTGTAGTTTATCTTGTTTAACAATGCAATATTGCCTTTGATGTCCGTCATTTCATTTTTATTGTTAAAGGGGGACTATAGGCACCCCTTCATCGCAATGAAGTGTACTGGGTGCCTTTCCTGTTGTGTTTAACTCTGCAACTGAAAACATTCTGCAGTCACTAATGTGCTTCTGTGGAAATAATTGACTGAAACGTGGCTATTTTAATCAGATGGTCTCATAGCGAAACACTTTGGTTATTGCAGTGCTGTGTTTTGCTGCGCATGTGCATTATTCCCCCCAGTACTTTTGTATGGGAAGCAATTGGATTGGCTGAGATTCATACACTGATGATCTCAGCCAAAGAGGCAAAGCTTCCCCATTGAGACACGCGTGGCGAGGGCTCATAGGTAAGAAAAACTCACCCTTCTAACCTTCACACGGCAAGGGGAACATGAATACAGTAAAAAAAAAAACGATAGCATTTGAAATACAAGTTTGTTCCTTTAAATCGTAATTGGATGGTTGCATTTAGTGACTGGTGACATCTTTGTTTTTCTTTTCAATGAAGGTTTATATTTGCACAGTTTGCCAGAGCGTCTTCTGCGTAGAGTGTGACCTGTACATTCATGATTCTCTTCACTGTTGTCCAGGATGTATCCATGCGCAACCCAGTTCTGCGATGTAATGAAGGCTGCCTTACCTGAAATGTTCATTCAAACTGGGGTTTATTCATTCTTGTACATAATGTAGAATATTTAGGAAGAAGACAAGACTTAGAAATAGAGCAATCCTTGTTGCAATCACAGGAATGTTCCTGCTAATTGCATTGCTCTAAGAACCTCTGTGTCAGTGACATGCTTGTAAATCTCTCCCATTATATATTTTTTTAATTTACTATTTTTATAGCAATTCTGTAAGGTGTGTTTGGGTAAATTGACCATGGGCTAAACTGACATGGAGTCAGTTGATAATAAAATTCCAGTTATGCATTGTGTTGGCACTTTATAGTGAGTCCTTGAATCAGTCACACAATACCTGTACCCTCTAAACGTCAATTTTAACAACCCATGTTCTACCACCTTGGATTTCTTTTCTGGTGACCTGCTTCTAGGACACAAGATCAAAGTTCCCATAACTTGCAGCGCAAGCCTAGCATTAAACATGCCTGTGGTGTGTAAAATGAACTCATGGCATTGTACACTCTCATGTATTTCAGCAGTGCTCCGTGCATGGTGATCTTCCAGCATTCCAGGTTAATACAGTCCCCAGAAGGGCCTTTGCCAAGTGCTTCCTCTTAACATACCTCCAACACTGCTCTATTCCTCATGTGCTTTACTGCCACCCACTGTTGGGAGTTATAAATGTCTAACAAGTACATAGACATTGCACTTGTTACACTAGACATTGTGTAATTAATTTGCATGCATGGTGTGCACACAGTCATATATGAACTCCAATGCACAGGCTAGGAAGCAAACATCAGGTTAGTATATTATTTATGTATACATTCTCTGGCAATTTTTGCTAGCACAATTAAAATATTAAATTATATTTTAGAACTGAATTGAAATAATGTATTTGCTTTAACATTACCAAAAATGTAAAGTTTTATTCAAGACACTTTTCAAACTGTGGCATATCTCTTCACATTAGAGTTCCTTTAGCTCATGTTTTCTACCATTATGCTGCAATGATCAGGAATGGATTCATGTACAAATTGATCCTGCGTGCATTTCATTTGTTTTTCGGTCAAATGTATACATTGCATTGATCTTCCTCCCACGGATTTGATTGGAAGCTATATGCACCTAAATATCTGTAATTTGCCTTAAAATATGAAGTAATGAGTAGTGTTTGTGCCACTGTATCCCCTTGTTTACATCAATTTGGTTTCCAAGAAAAATAGCTAATGCACTAAAAATAAATTGATAATTCAGATGTCGGCTTTCTAGTGAAAGCGTTACAGCTTCTAATTTGTAAAAACAAACAAAGCTATTTGTGCAAGATTTATTTATAAGCCAGAAAACATGTTCATAGTTTGCAGCTTTCTGATATAAACTGAACATTGTGCAGCAGACCTAATGCCTTCATTCATAGCTTTGTGCCAGGTTGTAGGTCTTTGTGCATTGTACGTGTGACTTTATTCATGTTTTCCTTTTTCATGGATGATATTATTGCAGCAGTTGTGAGAACTTTCTCATTGAGATCAATGAGAGCGCTCAAATAACCTCTTGACTTAACTTTAAAGGAAATCAAACATGTACTCCTGACCCATCTGGTTTCTGAATGATGAGGGTCAAGCTTCCGCGGGCTGAGTATTTTAAACTGGACCTGTATGACACATTGCTGCATGTTGTGTCACATCTTCATCTGTAGCCTGAGATTACATGAATTTAAAAAATATATTTTTTGATTTCCCCAATCTCTTATACATTTACAACTTTGTACAGTAAAATATTTGTATCTGATGTAAATAAAACAGTTTGTGGTTTTTTTAATTTATTTTTTTGTGTGTCTGTTTTATTGCATGAGTAGAGCTGATAATTGGAAACCCATAACATTAACTACAGGTAGAGATAGTATTTAGTTGCTGTAATTTTATATATTCTCCTAGTATCAAATATTTACACTTACTTTAGTCAACTACAGATAGGTGACTAAAAATTAAAGGGACACTATAGTCACCAGGACAACTCCAGCTTATTGAATTTGTTCTGGTGAGTAGAATCATTACCTTCAGGCTTTTTCCTGTAAACACGGTCTTTTCAGAGAAAATGCAGTATTTACATTACAGCCTACTGATAACTTCACTGGCCACTCCTCAGATAGCTGTTCGAGATCCTTCCTGGGTCATGGCTGCCTAAAATGCATCCAAACATTCAGTATCTCTTCCCTCTGCATGCAGACACTGAACTTTCTTCATAGAGATTCATTGATTCAATTCATCTCTATGAAGAGATGCTGATTGGCCAGGGCTGTGTTTGAATTATGCTGGCTTTGCCCCTGATCTGCCTCTTTGTCAGTCTCAGCCAATTCTATGGGGAAGCATTGTGATTTGATCAGGTCACCACTTCTGATGATGTCAGAGGAAGTTCACAGGCAGAGGTAGCAGCTTCAGACTTGAATACAAGTAAGATTTTACTGTCTTTAGGGAGGCTAAGGGGGGCTATAACACTATAGGGTCAGGAATACATGTTTATGTTCCTGACCATATAGTGCTCCTTTAAATCTATTATACATGGCTATTTTGCAAAGCATTAACATAGTCTATTGCACTCTCATTTAGCGGCATTTAAATTTTCCATCACCTTGAAGAACTTTAGCATCTAGAATAAAAACGTGTAAACCCCTACCCAGATTAGTGGTGTTATCCCACAGTAAGCATAGAACTTGGTTCTTTCCTATGAGCTGCAACATCACGTGACATTTTACTAAGTCAGTGCAAAGGAAGTGTTTTTGGCGGCAATCAGTATGGTAATCATTGCTGTTTCTGCAAAACGGTAATTTTTTTTTTAAACATGACTGGTTACAATGATGTGGTCCAGACCATGATGAAATGAAAAAAGGCTGTATATACTCTGTGATTTCATGTAAATGTAGTATGATCAGTTAACTCTTGCATTGCTGTATGTACAGTCCATGTGCATGAACGGCACTGGTGGAGAAAATGCCAAATGTGCATGCATATTTACTGGTGGAAGAAATCTCACATTCTTGAAAGTGACCATTCCGCTTTATATATTGCGCCATTGCTAAGGGGGCTTGCTTGTGCTAGAATTAAGAATAAAAAAAGTTCTCACCTTGAGGATTTACAGAGGAATTCCTCCATACAGAGTCAAATACGTTTTATTAATCTATAAACACAATAAAAAGTAAAAATATTGTGTTTGTACAGGGAAACGTGAACAATTATTCAGTATGTAGAATTGTATTTCAATCCATTAGGAAAAACAAAAATATAGCTAATGTGCCCCAACTCACAAGTCTTACATTGTCCGGTATTGCTTCAAAGGAGGATAGTTGCATAAATCATAAAACTTGTGGAAAACACTAAACAGAGGCGAAAGCAATGGGATACACTTAGTCTTATAATTGAAAAGGGGCAAGCAATTCACTTTGGGGGAAAAAAAGGGGGGGGGGGTCTAACTTGATACTAATGGAAACCACTGGTTCCTAGTTCAGGAGCCTGCTACAATGTATCACCTGAATCCATGTAGCAGATCTCCTCTGACCTTCACTAGCACACATTTATAACAATATGTATGCTAAGGTACTGGGATAATTCAGAAACTTTCCTCATACTTACCATAATTTAATTTTCCTGGATATGTCCATGGCAGCATCATGACAGGGTTAGCTCCTTCCCCTTAGCTGTTTAGGACAGGAAATACTTACAAATAGGCCCTCCTTGCCTGGTAGCATCAGTCAAGTAACACATTAAAATAAAAATAAATGGGAAGGGAAATAATGGATGCTGCCATGGACGTATCCAGGAAAAGAAAATTACGGTAAGAAATTTTCTGAATTCCAGGATACTAATCCATGGCAGCATCAGGATAGGGTAATACCCAAGCTAATTTTATGGGAGGGCAAATTAAAACTAAGACAATCTATCTGAGGCATCTGAAAGAGGTTCAAATGGAGGGAGAGACAAAGCCCTTAGAACTAACGGAAGGTCCCAGGGGACGCGATAAAGATCTGATAGAAGGTCTTGACTTTTTCAGTGCAACGGATCACCATGTTGTCCAGAGCCCACCTGTAGCCAGTTAGAAGCCTTGCCCTTGCTCTTTCTACCAATAAAATATCATCCAGGTAATGATAGATCTGAAGACCCTGAAGTCTCATCAAAGCTATCAGAGCCAGAAGGACCTTTGAAAATGTCCTTGGAGCGGTACTTAAGCGAAAAGGAACTGCCCTGAACTGGAAATGTTCTCCCAAAATTGCGAACCTCAAATACCTTTGATGATGATCTGCTATTGGAATGTGGAAATAGGCGTCCTTCAGGTCTATTGAGATCATCCAATCTCCTGGCTGAATTACTGCTATTATGGAAGACAAGGACTCCATTCTGAACCTTTGGATGTTGAGGGACAGATTCAACTTGTGTAGGTCTAAAATCGGACGCCAATCTCCAGATGGTTTTGGAACCAGGAACAGATTCGAGTAAACCCCAAGACCAATTTCTCCTTGAGGAACTCTAGAAATTACCCCCTCTTGCAGAAGATTGGAAATATTTCTTATCAAGGCTTGTCTTTTCTCTGGCAACCCTGGTGTTTTTGAGATCATAAATCTGTTGAGACAGGGAAATACCTTTAACTCCAGTCTGTATCCTTCTTTGAGGACAGAAACCACCCAGGGATCCAAATCTGCTTGAGCCCAGGTTTGCCAAAAGGCATGGAGACGAGCTCCTACTCCCGAGAACTGGGGTCTCCAACCTTCAGAAAGGTCTGTTTGAGGTTCTAGTACCGTTTGAGGATCTACCTCTGGCACCTCTTCCAGACTGGCCACTTCTCCAGGTTGAACCTCTTGTGAATTCTCTCCCTGGCCTATAGGACCTTGATTCCTGAAAGGACTGTCTGTCATGAAAGGATCTTCTGTCCTGCCAGTTCTGGGAAAACCTTCTACCTCTGCGAAATTGGGTAAGAAAGACCTTCTTGCCTTCGGCAGCTCTTTTGATGCCCTCCTCCAATTGCTTGCCAAATAATAATTTCCCAAGAGATGGGATAGCACATAAATTCTCTTTCTCAAATAGGTCCGCATTCCATGATTTTAACCATAGGGCTCTATGTGCAGAAACCGATAGCACCATATTTCTGGCTGTGGTAAATCTCCAAATTAATATATATATATTACACAAGGTTCATCTACATTAAAAGGTATTTATTAGAAGGCAACAACACAATACTATACATTTATCACAAACACACAGCCCAGACCCACAGAGCAACAACCCTTTTAAAATCTATCTATCTATATAGTAATGCCCTTTGCAACACATTTGATCTCACCCATGGTTAGGCCTTCACATCTAGTAATGGCTCACTGCTGCAAGTTCAACATCCATCAAGGAAGAAAAGGAAGCAACAGAGTGTTACATGGTTCACCATGCTAGCACATGGCGTCTGCTCACATCTTCTCTGTAGCACAGCCAAGAAGGAACAGAGAGGAATGGAGATAGGGGGAGGTGGTTATCTCTTTCCTGACTTGTAAAGGTATTGAATTACCCCATTACCATATCAAAGGGTAAAGATGATCCCCCTGTAAGAAAGGAATACATGAGCTTGGTCACATGACCCCTGGTCACCATATTAGTTTGATGACAAAATGTCACCACAGTGGCTAGGTTCTTAATTATATCCAGAGATGCATATGAAATAAACTCAGTTGCCCATTTAATTTCTGATAGGGATTGCAATATAGATGGCCTACTTACACCCTTCTCAATATCCTCTTCCAGAAGACAAAGTCATTTCATTAGTGCCTTAGAGACGGAAGTTATAGCTACTGCAGGTCTACAGGCCACTCCAGCAGAAGCAAAATTCTTACAAAGATTGATGTCAATCTTTGTTGAATGACGGAGACCCTTGAAACAAGGGGATCCCAGAAGTAGCTGCTGAACTTAACAGAATAAATAGTATAGTTACCAGGTGGCAAGTAGAGAAGAACAGGGGGCTGTACTTGTAAGTGGATAAAAGGGTGAAGGGGAATAAATAGAAATACCCATATATACCCTATATAAGCCACTGCTAGTTGTATTTAATAGCAGCAAAGGAATGTCCCTTTAAAAAAAAAAAAAAAAAAAGGGAGACTCTAGCATTCATACTAGAAAAAATGTCCAAAATTAGGACACCTAAGTTGCAAAAATACAATAAGGCAACACAAAATATGTGTAATACATAAATCACCCCACTAATATAAAGGCAATAGCTCCTGACGACGGCGTGTATGCACGCTGAAACGCGCGTCGAGCGCCTTATTTGATTTATCTTTTTTTTTATCACATTAGGTAGCACTTAGGTAGTTAGTATGTTTGATTTAGTTAGTTAGTATAGTTAGCAACTTATTATTTGGCATTTAGAGTTTTTCTAAGCAGGCATTTTTTGGTCCTGGGGGGTCTCCTCTGGACTTAGGGCTTGTCCTTAGTGGGTCTGCCCCTGTCCTCCTTTGCTCTCTTTTCTCCTATTCATGTTTGTATAGGCTCCTGTTTGCTTGCCTTTATATTAGTGGGGTGATTTATGTATTACACATATTTTGTGTTGCCTTATTGTATTTTTGCAACTTAGGTGTCCGAATTTTGGACATTTTTTCTAGTATGAATGCTAGTCTCCCTTTTTTTTTGTTTTGTTTTGTTAAAGGGACATTCCTTTGCTGCTATTAAATACAACTAGCAGTGGCTTATATAGGGTATATATGGGTATTTCTATTTATTCCCCTTCACCCTTTTATCCACTTACAGGTACAGCCCCCTGTTCTTCTCTACTTGCCACCTGGTAACTATACTA